GGACTTGTTTCGATCATGGCACAAATGGGAATTTCTTTGCGTCTTGCGTCTTGGCCACGACGCAAACGCACCTTGTGGTTCGTTCGCAAGTGATCCACCTGCTTTTCGAAGCTGGCAGTCCAGACTTCTTTGCAGACGAATTTGAGCACTTCCAAGGTCGACGAGGGGGGAGGTTGTTGTCTCTCGAGCAAGAGTCTAGGTTTCCAAGCGTTTCGTAAGGGGGGACAATCGGACCAGTCAGAAAAAGTCTCTTCGACTTTTGCAGCAGGATGAAGTTTAAGTGGGATGCTTGGACATGCGAAGACTCACTTGTCTGCAAAGCCGTGACCCGCACTAGCTCCTATTCCCTCCAACCTCCTCAACAACTCCGTCTCTTCCGTGTGAATTTCCTGATTGACGACCAGTCCCGCTTCCCTCATATCCTCAAACACCCTGTTCCTCCTATTTCTCGCGATGATTGTAGAAGCGGCCAAGAGGGATACCATCTCTATGCTCAACGCTGACAGGCAAAAGTAGTCCACTTGGTGAGCCATGCCGTTGGAATCGAGGGATGACTTGGAAGCTTGACGATGCGCGTCGGATTTGAGGAGCGGTAGAGGTGGTCGAATGGGATTGGAGGCGCTGGAAAGAGAGGCTGAACGTGCCGGTTGCGTAGACGATGGACTGGCGTTGGCGTTGGCGCCGGCGCTGATGGACGTTTGAAGCGCACCGGTAGAAGCAGAAGTTGGCACAGATTGCTTGATCGATCGAGCGGCAGCGCTGTTGTTTTGTGCAACCAAGGAGGAAGAAGAGGCACCTCCGATGGTAGCGAAAGAGGGATCTTTCAAGATCAAGCCTACAGCCGTCTCTGCAGCGCTCCGCATCGATGCTTCTCTTCCAACCTCTGCACCCTCACCCTCCCACTTGCTCACCACGCCCAATCGAGATTTCTCGTCGAAAAGTCTGGCAGCACGTGCGATGGATGCAGCGACCAGCCTGCCGTGCAAATCCGACCCGCTACCTTCTGAAGAGGAGAGGAAAGCCTTGAGAGCGAGCAAAGCTGCTGCTTGACCCACTTCTTCAGGCGACACCTCTTCCCTTTCCCCACCCGACTCATCTTGAGATTGTTGATCGATCGAGTAGGCGACAGTTGCGTTTTGCACCTTTTGCACGCTCTGCAACAACTTTCCATCGTCCAACTTGGCTGCCAAGCTGTTCAAGCCGATTTCTTCGCGAGTCTGTCCTTGAATCCATTCGGCCACCTTGCTATACAATGGCAGCACCTGCTCGTCGTTCGTGGCATTGTAGATGCTCTGAGCTTGCGCGGCTATTTGACCTGCTTCGAAAGCAAGTGGTACACTGGATTGAGCCGATGTGCCTGCAGTGCTGCTGCTGGACGAGGAAGCGGCGTTCCATTGTGAACCGCCTTGAGGTGCTACGGTGGACATGACGGACCGTATAAAGGCAGTAAAAGGTAGACGCTTGAGAGAGGAATGCAGACGAGAGTTTGCTTGTAGGTGAGCAAGGAAATGAAGAATGCGTCAAGGGGGATCAGGGCAAAGTGCTAGAGTTGCATGCGTGAGACCGGCGGGGATGTTTCGAGCAGTCACGTGATCTTGAATGATGCTGATATACTTTCAACTCTTGACTCGTTTGACTTTTGTTACCAATCGTGAATCAGGAATACCCGCGTGCGTACTACTCGTGACTCACGACTTGCAAAATTCGACGCGACTCTGAAATCACGAATTGAATTAGTCGGTTTGCCTGCCTGCCTGCCTGCCAGCTCAGCCGGAGAAGTCGCTTGACTACAGGTGACTCGTCCAGCAGCTAGGCTCTTTCCTGCATGTCTGAATCAAAGAGTGGAATGACGAATGTGAATTCAAAGACGAGTCATGATCCCATCGCAGCGAGATTCAAACAGTCACGCTGCAGTCACGAGTGGCCATGCAGTCAGAGTGAGAGGGTGAGTGCGGGTGCGAGTGCGAGTGCGAGTGAGTCATGCATGTAAGATGCGCGCGTATAATCAAAATAGCTGCACGCGCGCGTGACTCTGACATGACTCGTGATCGCCTTCATCATGCCGCGGGCGGCCCCCAAAAAAAAAGGAAAACAAAAGAAGAAGAAGTTGCGCTCAAGACTTGCCGGTACGAGATGCGGCGAGTAGGATGTTTATGTTTAATTTTTCATTCAGATTCATGATTGCCATTCAAATTCGAACATTCCCAGCAGTGCAGCCGTGAGTGCAGTGCAGTGCAGTAGCCAGCCAGCCAGCCAGCCAGTTCGCTGCCGTGCATGCACGACTTGCGCACTCGCCATCCTGAAATCCACTCCTTCGCTGCACTCCCATGCCACTCGAACTCATCATTCGCACGCACACGCATACATATCCTTCGACGACGTTTGATTGCCAAGCCATCCTGCTTCCTCAAGGTACAAAGACAAGCAGCGCGTTCCATCCACGCTCAGCAAAACCCACAGCCCGCTTTGCTTTCCCCCCCACTCACCACTGGCCTTTGGAAAGGACTCGATCAACTCCTCGAATAAGCAACCAGCTTTGCATCACCTCTCCCTCACACTTGTCCCTCTGCATTCATCATCTCTCCCACCATCCATCCAAGCTTCCTCTTGAGGCGCACTTTTTCTACTCATCACTTTACGACATAACCTCCAGCACATTCCCCAACTCTCCTCACGCCCCCACCCCACCCCACCCCTTCCTCAGCATACACGTCATGGCCGTACGTTGCCAATTTGAAAACTCCAGCGAGATTGGTGTCTTTGCCAGGTGAGTTTGGGTGGAAAGGGGGCAAGCAAGCAGCTAGCTGGACTGTTCAGATCTGGCCTTCGCTAGTGCCGCATCTTTCACTCGAATGAGGCGCATACGGGCTCAAGAAAGGCCATAGCAGTGTGTGTGGCCAATCGGCACGTCCCACTCTCGAGAAGCACCAGTAGATTCTCCCCCGCCCGCCCCCCAGCTGATGCAAACCTGCTCCGGGCCATGCCATGCACCCCCATTTCGCGCGGCCCCCCTTTTGCTCTCTCTGCAGTCTGACCAATTCCTACTGTCTAGTAGCAGTAGGCGGATCAGCCAACTTCGCCTCCACCTTTGAAGCGGAGCTGCAAGATGTGATACCGGTCATTTTCTGCACCATTGCTGGTACGCGTCTAGTGGGTCGATTGACCGTGGGCAATAGACATGGTCTGCTCGTTCCCAGCACCACGACGGATCAGGAGCTGCAGCATCTTAGAAACAGTCTGCCTGATCAGGTGGCTATTCAGAGAGTGGAAGAGAGACTGTCGGCACTTGGAAACGTCATTGTTTGCAATGGTGAGCCCTTTTCTATTTTTTTTTTTTTTTTTTGT